CGTACATAAAATCAAGAGAAAAAAAGGCACGACCATAAGTATGCATTAAAGCATTCTATGTATGTAGCAGGGAATTTATGTTTTTTTTTGTTCACATCTCATCCTTTTTTTTTCATTCATTTCCAATGTTTGTCGACTTGATATATAGCCTGGTTAAGGATGTACTTATGTGATGTTTATGAATTTGTGTATAGCTTGTTATGTTTCTTTACAAAAGCTTCTCCGACTTATAGTATCTATCTATCTATACTACTTAAACGAGAAGACCTCATTTTGTTAGTCGCTTCTCTTCCTTCCACAATAAGTTAATCATCATGACTCTGTGTTCTATAGGTTCCATGCATAGTTGCATTTGTCATCTATTCTTATGATTCTACTAGTACTGTTTGGGTTATTTTAGGAGAAATCAATTTAGCAGTGATTGCCGTGTAGAAGAAACTTGGAATTGATAGTTCATATCAAATATACTTTATTGATAATAAATGTATGTTCATAGTATACAGAAACGCCAAAATAATGGTATTTAACAGAAAACAAAAAAAATAACGCACTTTGGAGAAAAGGGAGAGGGCTTGAAAAAAATTGTCCCGTCTCCAGGAGTCCCTATGAATTTTGATACCTTTTCTGAAATTATCCAGATTTATAAAAAGAGATGGACCATTTTGTACATATACCAAGGGGAAACTTCGTGCAAAGCATTATTATTTATAGTTTAATTGAATTTAGTAGAAAAAGAAAATTTGGTGAAAATAAAACCAAGATTTTTTTTAAAAATCCACAGATTTTAAGACCGAGATTTTTATACGATTCCAATTTTTTTGGGGGGGGGTCGTATAATGGTATGATGTGGTTGTTGTCGTCTACGTCATCTGAAGACACATTTGTAGTTTCTGGACTATAACTTGTGTGTAAGTGTATGGATCTCTCTGACATTGTACCACAAAGTTCCATATCACAAAAGGAAGGCTGTGATTGAGTTTGGGGGTAATTGCCCCATTCATGAAGGAATTCGGGGCCATAAAAGGGTCAAAAAACATTTTTTTAGTTATTCTAGTTTTTCAGACAATAACTTGTGTTTAAGTCACTGTATGGATCTTTCTGAAATTGTACTACAGGAAAACTGGGATCAAGTGTTGAGGTTATTGCTCCAAAGGGCGGGGGGGGGGGGGGGGTTGTGAGTTCAAAAAGTTTGCAGGTTTCCAATTTTTTTTTAAGGAGTTTAATTTTTTTTTCAAAATTTTTCAAATTTTAAAATATTTCAAAAGTTTCAAGAAGAAATCTTTAATTGCACAGTATTGCCCAATAGATTTGAAAGACCTTTACACATGTTTTGTGTCAGAAACCTATATTATGTCAAAAATTTGATCACAATCCAAATTCAGACAGTAATAAGCTTGAATATTGTGTCAAAATTTGCCCCAACTGTTCATGGTTCAACTTCTGCGGTCATATCAGGCTGCGCTCAGCGCCAAAGCATTTTATTTTTGTTATAATATTTTAAACATATATAACTCAATTAAAAAAATCATTGCTAGCACTGAATGCAATAATGCTTCATCAATAAAGCATCAAATCGCCAAATATGACAGTACAAGGGAAAAGCTGTGGATTTTCTAAAAAAAAATCCATATGTTTAGCATTTAATCAACACAAGGGTACATAATCCTTAAAAGCCTTTGAGAACGTAACTTTATAGCAAGGAACTATAATGTATGCAGATTTTCTTTGAACACATACGAAGGTCTTGAATATTGGTTGGGGGGGGGGGAGGTCTTTCAATCCTAATTGTCTTTTAATTTGTTAGTCATCTGTTTTTCTCTATTCTTCATATTTTTTTCTCATTATTCTGTATTCTTTATTTTCTTGGCGTCTATTTTTCTTTATTTTCTGGTCCTATGTTGTGCACTTTTTGTCCATTTGTGTTCTCTATTCTTCTATAAATCCTATCCAGACCCTCACAAACATACATAATCAATAAGTTACGCTCCTATTACCTAACCCCACTTGACATGGATATAGATAATTGTCATCCATGGGGTTTTCTCATCCGTTTTGAATATAACATTGCTATTAAAACGGGTACGTTATAAAAAAAGAAGACGTGGTATGATTGCCAATAAGACAACTCTCCACAAGAGAAATGACACAGAAATTAACAACTATAGGTCACTGTACGGCCTTCAACAATGAGCACAGCCAATATTGTATAGCCAACTTTAAAAGGACAACATACTAGGAGTCCATTACATCAGATATAACATATAGAGATGTATAAATACGCAGTCACGTATACGTCCGATGCTAAATTGTTGACTTTGTTGGAAGGCAAAATGATTAGCCCTATACTGACTGGAACTAGTATATATATAACTGAAACTAGATGAAAATCAAGGAATCTACACATGCTGTATAATAGCAAATCTGAACGGAACCAAAACGCATGTTTGTAAAAAAATAAATAATATACAACTTACATTTCAGCAACTGTTATATTAGTAATTATTAATGATGTAGTTCGTGAATAAATTGTCCTACACAGTGGAACAAATGGACAGTCTAAGTACGTTAATGTCTGGATTAATATTTCTGCAAAGACGTTGTCATTTTATTGTTTCCATTAACCGACTTAAATAAAAATCAAATTATAACTTTGTAATGATTATAAATGTTTACCTTTTGAAATAAATTTTGGTTTATTGAATATATTTACGGGAAAAAAAGAACTCAAATGTTTTATTTCCATGTATTTTATGACATATGAAAAAACATCTTTGTGTAAAAGAAAAATCGAATCACATCAAATTTTGATCGGCCGTAAATTAAACTTCACATCACTTTATTTATATCACAAATCAATTTACAAAAACTTCTCAACGATGTCATAATAGAAAGCACGAGTGATCTATCTGGCGGACCAACTTGTGGCTAATGATTGACAGGTATGATTAGATCTTGAGGCTCCTATGGGGAACGTGGTGTCGAAAGGAAAATAGAAGATTATTCAATTATAATTTTTAGGACTGGTACGAAATGTGATCTGATATGGAAAATTTTGAGTTCTTTTAATAGCACAAAGAAATAAGACGTTAGAAGGGTAACAATTGTGTAACTATAAACCAATGACTCGTATGTAATTTATGGGAAAGATTTTATCAAAAGTTTGTTGAAAACTTTCAATTTCAAACCTTCTTGGTTGGAATGAATATGATCGATTTATATGCAAATAGGTTTTATTATATAATATATTTAAATTATCTTCATTAATTACAATACAATATATAACATGTATCTATGATATCCTCCATAACGACTAAATATATGTAAAGGGAAAATTAAATTCTGATCAATCGGGTACAGATTGATTTACAACCTTCCACTGGTATTGCACAAGCAATATCACAGCAGGTGTTAAATACACTAGGACAAGTGTCAGATCAGTTTGACATCCTGCCCGAATACGGTATCTTCCGGAGACTCTATTAGTACAAGGACTGATTTTTTTTCTAAACATGACAATTGTGAAGAATTTTTTAAAGAGAGAACAAAGTTTCTGACCCAAACTATCGATTCACATTATGAATCTATCATGAATAGTAGATTAGTTTACGTTTTTTAACGTAAATACGATTTCCATTCATATATTAAAAAAATTGTAGTTGTCTATAGCAAAGATAACACGTGTATTCATCTTGTTCATTGGTCACATTTAAATAGATTTTTCTTTAATGAACAATGACAACATTTGATATTTAAATCTTAAGTAACTTTATTATCAAAAACACCGTTTTATCTCGACCGAAAAGGGAAATAAGATAGTTTTTTTAATCTGACTGTAAACATTGTATATATCACAACGATCTATTAATAACCGTCGCCTAGCATAACGGATTCTATAATCAGCTATGTACAACGATCTATTAATAACCGTTGCTCACGCATCACTGGTTCTATCATTGACTCAATACACACCCGTTTTATCGGACAAACGGCTAATTCCCGCCGACACGGAAAATCTCCGGATAACATGCATAATATTCTGTAATACAGCAAATTTACGATGAACCCCTAATTATTATCCGTTTCGCGGAGATTAGCCAAAAATCGCGGGCATTTTCCAAATAGGTCTACCAGTGTATGATATTTAGAGAGAAAAAAAATTTTTCCGTTATGCCTTATATGATTTAAATTATAATAGATAAATAAACACTTTAAATCACAAAAATGATCAGCAAGGCAAGATACTACAAAAAATGTATTAAAAAGTCAAATTTTGCCGATATAATAGTAGACAGCTGTCACTCTTCATAGGAGTGATTGCCCTTAAATGAGGTTTTTTTTTACCCTCTTTTGTGTTTTGAGCAAAAACTAAAGAAGATAGAGAGAAACTAAACAGACTAAAAGATCAGTAATACAAGATAAACAAAATAGAGATTTTTGTCATGAAGTCTATTCTGGTCTACAATGTTGGAGAGTGTCCTTTGTTTGATATGCACATAGACCAAGGTGAGTGACACAGGCTCTTTAGATCCACTTGTGTATATACTGTGAACTAATTAATTTTTTAAAAGCAATTTGTTAATGTGAAGTTGGTGAGTAGATATAAAACATGATTATGATATAAAAAGAGATGTGGTATGATTGCCAATCTACACCAGAAACATTTTTAATCATTGCTACTTTGTCAATCTTGGGTCTTTTCTTGAATAAATAAATCAGCAAAGTTTGAAATCCACAAAAATGACAGCCTTCAACAATGAGAAAAATATCCACCAGAGTCTACATGACATGGATGTAAGCAAAAATATGTCACTGTACAGCCTTCAACAATGAGACAAATATCCACAAGAGTCTACATGACATGGATGTGAGCAAATATATGTGAAGGTAATCAGATTTAACAAAAATTTAGAATATTGAAACATGAAACCTTTTTGTGGATATTGTTACCTTAGTAACTTTTCTCTGAAAATCTGGAAATATAGACTATTAATCTGTTAAAGGTTGAAGAAAATGTAAATGTTGAAAAAGTAGATCCCTACGTCAACTGTGAGAAGAATCTGTTACATCACATTATAAAAATGCAGTCTGTGTTAGATGAAAGGCTGGATTTGATAGAGGAACAAGTATCAGGTAAGACACCTACTTCATTTTTGCCGATAATTTGAACTTGACTTTGTTAAATATGTTGAATGAACTTAAAATGTTGGACAATGTTCTCAGACTACTAAACAGAAAGATTTGATATTTATTTACTAGCTTATCTGTGATAAGTTGTGACCTGTGAGCATTGTCCTGATCTGTCAGACAACTAATTCCTGTTGTATTATACTTTGGATTACAAGTGGGGATAAGTTTAGCAGGACATTGTTTGCATTTTTGTTCTGTTTGCTATGAGTTTTTTTGCAGACATGGAGGGTAAATTTTTCATTTCTCCATAAAACCTCAATTCTTTAAGCTGTTAAATGGGTAGTGAACATTGAATAAACCTTTAATTAAAAGATTGTATACACTAACATTAATGTTCATGAACATTTTCAGCAGAATTCTAAGTTTATAACAAACCTTTGTAAATTGTCTGTTAATTAATTTTGAAATTACAAGAAAGTAAGGTTTCAACTCCCTCAGGCAAATTTGGCTATATTTTTAGGTCCCTTTTGGTCATATAGCTCTTCAACTGCTTAGGTTATTATACATTCTTGGCTTTCAAATATTAGGCTTTGAGCGTTCCTGGTGAAGGTAAATCCAGAAAAGCGCTTCAGACGCATGAAATTTATAACGTGTTGTTTTCACTTTTTATACAATGAAAAAAATGAAAAGACAATAAGGCACATAAAGAACTTTCAAATATGATTAATGGCATACTTAAAACGTATATTAGAATTACAAAAGTCAAACAGGAAACAAAAAACAATGAATGAAATCATAAAAAAACATATTTTTTGTGGTTGTATTAGCAGTCAACGACAAAATTGAACCAAACAGACAGTTAATGACGAATAGCTATTCAATATTCAGCTCTTGTTAATATTTGAAGCCGATAAAAACATTCATATAAATATTTCAACTATTGTTTCAAAATGGTAGCTAATGCTCTTTTTTTTTTTAAATTGCTTATTTAATTGTATGGTATAAAGCTCCTTACATGTTGCTTCTACTTGCAGCTTTGGAAAGTACTGATACTGAAGATAATCCGTCGGACATATTATCTGACCTGCCATCAATCAAGAAATCACTTCACATGTTACAGAACGATCTCGTCAAAGTGGGAAGGATGGCAGCTTATCATAGATGATACGAGATTATTCATGTTATTGGGAGATATAGAGATAATTATACAGGAACTTGTGTAGGAATGCCTATGCTTGCAGTGTGATGTGTGGGATATACGGGGTAGAAAAATGGGGATGTGAAATATAGGGGGTAAGCAAGGTTGGGATGTGGGATTTGGGTGGTAAAAAAGTGGGATATGGGATATACTGGAGTAGGATTAAAAAAAAGTGGAATCTGGGTAATAGAAGAAAAAGTGGGAATTGGGAAATAAGCACCCCTGTGTCACCCCCTCTGAAGTGTAAAGAGTATTTATTGCTTTGTTGGTAGTAATTTTACAAATTTTAATTTAATTTCATCCGAAAAAAGGAAAATATTGACCTGTAATTTATACTATATTGTTTTTTGTTGTCACTATGGAAAAGAAACTGAAACTGAACCATTAATGACAATGGACAAGCAAGTTGGACTAGTTACCAGGGGAATTAACAACTATATGGATCATTGATGTATAAGATATTTTATATAATATTTATACTAAGTTGCTTAAATCCAGGTTATTTTAGACTCTGTTGGATTGTAACTGTTGTCTCATTGGTAATCATACCACATCGTCTTATAGTTCATTATTATAAATAGTGCTATTTTTATTTCTACAAGCATAATTTACAACAGTTTCAAATTTTCAATATTTTGTAGCATATATGTGCTTAGTTTAGTGTGATGTCCATTTTCACTGAACCAGTACACAATTTTATTTAGGGGCCAGCTGAGGACCACCTCTGGGTGCGGGATTTTCTCGCTGCGTTGAAGACCTATTGGTTGCCTTCGGTTGTTATCTGCTCTTTGGTCGGGTTGTTGTCTCTTTGACATATTCCCCATTGCCATTCTCAATTTTATGATCTGCACAATCAATAAGGATTTGGTATATTGTAATTTTGTATTATAAGAAAATAATGACTTGTTAGTTTTACCACTTTCTACATTTTTTGTTTAAATTTTTGAACTAACTTAAATAATGCCATCACATGAGTTAGTATTGAAGAAAAATTTTGACCAGACTGCAGATTGCTGTGGAAATAAAGGGAGGTAATTATAGACGATCAAGGACTACTTCATATTTTAATTAGCTGGTAGCACTGATTATTTATACTCTTGGTATTGATGAAACAAATCTTAGACATATCTCAACCAAAAAGTTTTTCTGCTTGAATCTGGTTCAACTTGATAATACATGTATACACAAAAAATGAAAATTTTATTATATTAAGGTATCTGAATAATTTTTTGGAATTCTTGTTTTTCTTTATAATGTTAAAAATTATCAATATATGTACCATACTGTGGATTCGTTATTATTTGTTGGATAAAAAAGGGGAACCAGAAATTTAAATGTGAAACGAATTACAAATTTTTGATTGAAATGTATTCAGACTTTATATCAAAACTACAAAATCAAATGTCCACAAAAAGTTTATCTCAATCCACTTGAATTGGTACCCAAGAAAGTAAATGAATCCACCATATTGGCACATCACAGAGCCTGAAATTGTTTATTTATCGTATGTTCTTGTAAGAGGCCTGCCATAATACATGAGATTATCATTGTATCGTCAATTTGTTACTTGTATGTTCTTTCTCACTTTTCTTTACACTTTCATCTTTACCATATGTATTCATAATGTTTGGGTGCATTTATTTATGAACAAAAGGCAGCAACTTCCGTTTAATTTCATGATTGAAATATTGTATACATTACTGTTATATGTTTATGCATTCATATTTTTTTGGGGGGGAATGGGGAGGAGTAGAGGCCCAGTACAATAGTGCTATTATGCTTTGTGTTCCACTGTATTATACATGCAATATTGTTAATTCGTAGTTCTAGGAAATAATGTCAATCATTCCAAGCATACATTTGTACTGTTAATACACTCCAATACTGTAAATTCAGAAATTATTGCATGCATTTATTATTGCGATGTTTGAAGAATGGACCACAATGGGAAATTAATTATTGCGATTTCAGGACAATCTGCATACAATTATATATATCAGAATGCCAGTTTTAATCATTGTGATTCATTCAGTCGCATTATTCACATTAAGGTGGTACCCAACACCTTGACTAATATTAATTTGGCTCGTTTAATTTTCATAAAATTTTGACAAAATGTTTACTTTGACCCTTTGACAAAAATATAAAAATTTCAAAAAATTTGAACCAACCACTTTATCAGAAAAATTTCATTGGTTATATAGCAGTTTGACAAACACTGATTTTGATCATTGAGAAGCTTAATATTTCCTTAACAATACAATGTAATTAAAACGTTTAGCTGATTTTTACAGAGTTATCTCCCTGTAGTGTTAGGTACCACCTTAATTAAAACCTCACAATAATTTCTGAATTGACAGTAGACCATTTTAGTTCAAATAAAAACTACATCTTGCAAATGTATATAGCCTGAAACAAAATATTGTAATACATATGCAGACCTGCCAACTATCCCGATTTATGGGGGATATCCCCCATGAGAGGTATAGACCTGAATTTTGAAATTCTGTATTAAATTGACTGAACACCTCAAAACAGGCATTCAAATGAGTTAAAATGGTGTTTAAGCACATACATACTCATTCAAACAATATAGTAGATGATTATGAACACTTATGACAATATAGGAGGCACATTAGGTCCTCTTGCGCTTAAAATCCTCCATGGAGATTTTGAAAAGTTGGCAGATATGCATATGACAATTTGGATATAACAAAAAATCTTCATGTCGCTACAAAAATTTAGAGTTAACTCTTGATTATAGAATAAAAAAGAAACTGTTATTTAAGAAGTATATTATAATGAGCGATAGCGAAACAAGTATATGTAATGAGTTATAGCAGTGTATTCACTAAATATTCTTATATTTTAATCTGATCTGGCATGGCTTGTCTTAATTTCGTTATAAAATCCATTAAACAAGAATGATAACCATTCAATACAGTCGATTTGTAATAAAAAAAATATACCTCAATATACATTGTATCTGTATACAACATTTATAGATAAAACATTGTATACAAGTAATATTTCATAATTTATTATTTATACTAAATATAATTCATCTTTGATACTAAAATATCTTGAAATAAGATTTTTTTACTTTATCATGTTTATAAAATAAGTTCAATACTGTCAAGCGACAAGTTACTTTTTTCAATGACATTATCAACATACTAGTCTGATTTTTTTTTTTTTTTTTTTAGCTACCAATACTAACAACTTTTCAAACAAATTACCTGTACTCATTATACAAAGCACCTCATTATCTACCTCATTAAAGCCATACCTGACCAGGTCAACATATTTGAGTGATACATTCAAGAAGATTTTCAGCATTTTGTATTGTTTAAGACAGCTTTTGAGCTAAGTTTTATTAGCATTTATGTAAATCGTAGAATCTTTGCTTGCATGTTATATATATTGTACAATGAATTTTGTACCTGTTACCCTTAAAATGTTAATTGTTTGTGTTGTTGTATAAAGATACGTCTGTTGATTATGAATTAAAATTCTTACACGCTGTTTTCTTATTCTTTGTATGTAAGCCCAGGTTTTAGTCATTTTATTGTAAGTATAACAATTTGTGACGTGTTTTAATATTGAAAGTAAATAAATTTTACACAAATTTTCTTATGTACACTTTAGGTCAGATGGATTATGCTTTTCCCTTCCGTCAATGTAAACTAAGCAAAAGTTTCAAAGTTGTGACCCTTAACTGGATTATGATGGGATAGTTCTCTTAATATAATTTTTATACAGGATGTTATTTAATGTGATATGAATATGAATCCTGTTTTGTACTAGATCAGCATGCTAAGCCAGACTTTTGACGTGCTAGTTCACAAGGTAACTTCTTCGGGAAGACATGTCACCCTATCTGGCACATATTGTTCGGTCTTTGAGCCCACCCGTCTTTGCTCTGTACTCTAATGCTAATTATACCCCACACAAAAAAGTTGCATTGGTTATGTTTTTCACCCATCCGTCGGTCCTGTTCTTGTCATTACAACTCCTCTGAAACCACACAACAGAATTTCATGAAACTTTTTTGATAATAAAGACATACTATGTAGATGTGCATATCGACAGGAATTTATGAATCTTTTTTTTTTCTACAAGTTATGCCCCTTTGAACATAGAATTTTGGCCTTAATATACTACTGCAACAGTTTGACATCGCAACTCCTCCAAAACCACACAACAGAATTTCATGAAACTTTTTTGATAATAAAGACATACTATGTAGATGTGCATATCGACAGGAATTTATGAATCTTTTTTTTTTCTACAAGTTATGCCCCTTTGAACATAGAATTTTGGCCTTAATATACTACTGCAACAGTTTGACATCGCAACTCCTCCAAAACCACACAACAGAATTTCATGAAACTTTTTTGATAATAAAGACATACTATGCAGATGTGCATATCGACAGGTATTAATGAATCTTTTTTTTTTTCTACAAGTTATGCCCCTTTGAACTTAGCATTTTGGCCTAAATATACTACTGCAACAGTTTGTCATTGCAACTCCTCTGAAACTACATTGCAACTCCTCTGAAACTACAGAACAGAATTTCATGCAACTTTTTAGTTAATGAGGACATAATATGTAGATGTGCATATACACAAGAACTTTTTATCAGTTGACTTTTGTAGGAGTTATGAGTCTTTGAACTTAGGAATCTGGTGAGATTTTGTTTGCCCAGTGACTATATGGGGGTGTAGGGTATGTGAGGATGCTCACAAAAGTTCTTTAATTGGAGAAGCAGCAAATACTGATTTTAAAGTCTTTGGTTTGACCCATCTAGGGATCGAACCTGCGACCTCCTACACTCTAAGTGAGCACAAGACCATTGATGCAGTGAAACTATGAAGTCTCCAGTGAAAACAATAAATTGTACAGAAACCTTGAATGCAGTTTCTACAAAAACTTGACTATTAAAAATGAGCTATTAAAATATGTCATTATCCTTGTCTGTATCAGAGGTAATGCCAATGACCACATTGCTAATATTCACTATTAAAACCAAAATTATTATTTTGGAATGTTTCTGCATATGAAAAACAAGTAAATATATAAAATAGTTTATTTCAATTGTTAGTATAATTTATAAGCAAGACATATACAATCTGACACACAATAAGCTAATCATTTATACCCTCATTTTAACTTGTTCCAAAAAATTCTCTTAACAAAAACATGACAGAATATTTTTTTGTAAGAACTTAATATCCTTTCTGATCTGAATGGTCAATGTACATCACCTTTTCACATATAAGTGCATAATATTAATATTCTCCTTTTATAGGTAGAATCTATACATATATATATATATAAGTGCCTATAAATAGCAGCACGTGACATACAAATCTATGGGAGTGTGGATTAATCAGTACAGAGATTAATTCAATTACACAAATAAAATTATAGATTGCCTAACAATGTAATTTTAAAGAAAAGTTTCTTATCATCTACATCCGATTTCACCTGGATAGATGCACGCTTGATAAAGCTAGTTAGTCTAGCGAAATATTGCGTTTATTTTCATCGTTTTGTAAATATTTTAAACATTCTTATATTTACATACTAAATAGTGTGTTAAAATTACATTGTTAGGCAATCTTTATATATATATATATATATAGTAAAAGGATGGATTTAAAATAACAATTTTTATTACATTCTTGTAGGTGGAATCATACTTCAACCATAAATCTCAATACATGTATTTGTGATAAAATAAATTCTACTTATATTCTATAATAAATTACCAAATTTAAACAGCAACATTGATATTATGAACATTTTCTTCAATTCAAACACTCAACAATACAACATTGTATGTCCATACAATTAGATTCATGAATGTTTTAATGACCAGATTCTAAGATTTCCCACATTTAACTTTTGCATCACAACAGGTTAAGCTTACGATTTACATTAAAAATATAAACTTCAACTGGTAAAAAAAAAAAAAAAAAAAACATTCAAAAACATGTACAAATATATCCTATAGAAATATAATATCCCTCTCTGGTAAGACAAAAAAAAGCAAGACAACAATTTGCTGTATGAAATATTGTAAACCAACTAATTTTCAGGAGCATTGTATTTTCACAACTTTCCTTTATTAGTACAAAAATAACTCAAATATGTCAAATTTGAATCTTCTTTCTGAATTAAAACAAAGTTTGTTTGAAAGGACTTAATTATTTTTTTTTTTAGAAAATACAAGTTTGTTTACAGTAGAAAACAAAGCGTCCGATTTGATAATTATACACATTGTGACATGTATTGAAAGCTGTCGTTATAAAGAAAATTTGGATTCAATCATCAACTTATGGTCAAAATGTGTGAGAATGAATATGAAAAGTAAAAAAAAAACCTGTAAAAAGAATTACATTGTGAGTAAATTCTTTTTAAATTATAGAATAACGAAGACGATGTGTGAAAATATATGATAATTTTGTAACAACATTTAATTGAAGAAATATAATTAATAAAAATCATAAAGTTTAATCAAACAAGTATTACAATGTTGTACCCAGCTTGTTCGATTACAATGTACTTTGCTCCAATGATACAACTAAACCTACCAGTCACACTTTTTACAGAGAGTTACATCCCCTCAAACACATTTTCCTAGTACAACTACAACATGAGTTAAAATGTCAGTGCTCATACTAAATTTTCTACATGGTCATTTTTTCCATTCTTGCTATTTGATCTTTTGAAAAAGTCTTGTAAATACAAAGGTATCTGACTGACCAGCATTCCATTGACCACCGGTTATTGGCAGGTCAGTTGACAAAAGTTTTGTTAAATATTGGTCAAGTGATTTTTTTTTTTTTTAACTGGACCAAACATTCAGGAAATATGAGAAGAACTTCAAAACAAGAGAACCAATGAAACTTTGGAACAGTTATTATTTAGATTTAATTGGAATGAACATCAAGTAAAATCTGAGACTTTTGGAATTACAGTATCCAGAAAAACTTCATAAAATACTGTAAATTTAGAAATTAATGTGTGCATTTATTATTGTTAGATAACTAGCAAAAATGCCAGATTTAATTAAGGCAATTGCAAAAATTTTGTGAAGGAAATTTACTAATGACATTATGAATGTTAGTGTTTATTATTAAGCATTTTTCGCATTAATAAAAACACAGCAATAATTTCTGAATTTACAGTAACCAAAAATAGTAAATCGTTAAAGTCCATCTAATAAAGGTGAAATCAAAATTCATCATGTGCCGGTGTTCTGACTGTCGGGACTGGAGATTCTGATGGCTTTATAAAGATTCCCTCGGCAGCCTGCCAATAATTCAGTTCACTTGGCGAAGGGTAGGCACAAATCTCTTTTTGTCCATGGATTGGTCGACCAAAAGTGTCACCAGTTACATGTAAATAGCTGTAAAATATAAAAATTAAATTGAAATGTGCTACTGTGGATTCATCATTATTTGTTGATACCCATATTCGTGGATTTGGTTGGTAAAGGTAAACCATGAATCTAGATGTTCAACGAACAACAAACTTTCTATAGGTTTGTATGCGGACTTTGGCAAAACCTTGAGATCTAATATCTACAAAAACAATTTTTTTCCTTCATCCACAAAAATAAATGAAACCACAGTATGAGATATGTGGATTGAAAAGTTAGGTTGACATTTATAACCATGGCATATATACATGTGTTAAAAAACTGTAGCTGAAATGAGTCTATTGTGCTATAGACATGATAAATGTTGATAGGACATGTCTGTCAAACAATTCACCATTTCAGAATATAAAGGAGTATGCGTTATTTCATTGTTTGTTCCACAAAATACAACTTCAGATAATTAAAGATAACTGTATTGTTTTTGAAGCTTGGCTTATTTAAAACCAGGGTTTTACTGTCCCAATTTGAGTTTACTTTGTGATGCATAGCAGAGCTTGTAAACAGATATGGTGACGTCATACATTCTCTTTCTTTTGAGTGAGAAAAAGTAGCATGATTTGAAAAATAAATGGGGAATGTGTCCATGGGACACAGATGATGCCCCTGCTTGCATATAAAGTTGTAAAGGGACATAACTCAGGAACTGTAAAAGTGATGCTACCCAAATTTGTACTTGATCTGATTTTGTGGTAATAAGTATTGTGTATACGTTTCATAACATTTAGTTGCGGCAAACTTAAGTTAGAGAACGGAAACAAAAAATCCAGTAATTTTTCCATTTATAAAGGGGCATAACTCTAGAACAGTATAGGTGACGCCAACAAAAATCAAACTTTTTTTACATGTGTTTTGTGGTAATATGCATTGTGTTTAAGTTTCATAACATTTGGTTGAGGCAAACTAAAGTTGGAGAACGGAAACAAAAAATTCAGCAATTTTTCCATTTGTAAAGGGGCATAACTCTAGAACAGTAAAAGTGACGCCACCAAAAGTCAAATTTGATCAGAGTTTTGTGGTAATAAGCATTGTGTATAAGTTACATAACATTTGGTTGAGGCAAACTAAAGTTAGAGAACGGAAACGAATAATTTAGCAATTTTTCCATTTGTAAAGGGGCATAACTCTAGAACGGTACAAGTGACACCACAAAAATTCAAACTTGATCTGAGTCTTGTGGTAATAAGCATTGTGTATAAGTTTCATAACATTTGGTTGAGGCAAACTAAAGTTAGAGAACGGAAACCAATTTTGGGACGTACGTGAGGACGGACGTACAGACGGACAAGGGTAAAACTTAATGCCCCCTCCGCTAAGGAGGGGGCATAATTATCACAAAAAAAGATAAAAGGAAAAATACAAAAAATAGCAATAAAGAACTTTCAATGGTATATTTAAATGCAGAGTACTTACTTTTCTGTCACTACATTTTTAATCCTGACTTTTTGGTTTCTGTCCCAGTAATTACCAGAACATATAATGACCCAGTGATCACCTGTAAATAAATAAATTTAACATCATGTTTCCACCTGTAAACTTAAGCCCACAAAATGATGCCATGTCCCTTGCAAAGTCCATGCTTTGATAAGGGAAACCCCCAAAATAATTGAAATAAAAATTAACACATGTAGGAAGTGCATTCTGGCATTATATTTTGGGGAGTCTGTGGAAATTTCATTAAATTCTGATTATGCATTTAGGAGGAAAACGAGATATAAATGTGTACTGTAATGTGCATTTGTTTTCCAAAAATCATTCGGATGAAGAAATAAAAAAGGAAACAAACAGTTGGACAGACTCCCCTATCACTACATACCGCCACTTTTATAGAAAGCAGAGTATAACAAACAAATGAATTTAACATCTAGTGAGCACCTGTAAATAAGCAAATAAATTGAACATATGACCACTCTATTGTCAACAAATCTATAAGGTTTGATTGCTGGGTGATATACTACATTTAAACATTTTTTGCTGTTTGTAAATTTGTGGTACGGTTGAGTAGTTCAAGGTTATACTGTATACTATGGATACACTATTATTTGTGGGATACTTCTCTATGTGGATTTTATGGTTATCAATGAATTCAATTGTTCAGCAGAATACAAATTTCCAATTGGCTTGTACTGTCATGACTGTTAAAATGACATAATTGAGTATCCACAAAAAACAAGTGAAACTGCAAGCTACTGCTCACTGATGATAACCCCGCCCAAATATTTCGGTAAACAGGAAGTTGTTGAGTGATGAATCTGAAAACACATCACACGGTATAGCTGACTTATATAAACCCTGAAACCAAATTTCAGAAATCCTTATGATGAAGTTCCTGAGAAAGATGCGGCAAAAAATATTCATGGGTCGGATGGATGGATGGACGGATGGACAGACAGATGTAACAGTATACCCCCACATTTTTTAAAGCAGGGGTATAAAAAATCCACACACCCACAGTAATAACCAAGTTAAAGTTTACTCAATATGCCTTGTTATTAGAAACTGACCTTCATCTCCTACACCATTTTCTCCAAATGCTGTTACTTCTAAATTTCTTGACAACGGTGACTGGAAATGGTGACTATGCAAATTCCTGTTGGTATTGAGATGTAACAATCTTATTGTCTGTCCACATTTGATTGGCTGTCTGAAAATATTAGATTTAAAAGTTTAAAAGTCTAGTTGTTCATTATCAATCCCAAAAATTTTAAAAAACTGGAAAATGAAATGATTGATAATAGATAAGCTACGGAACTGTAGTTGATATGGTCCGTATTATTTTTTTACAGTTTGCGTACCTACAAACCCTAGCTATCATGGGCTACAGTTCCGCAGCTAATAATAGATGTGCTAGACTAGACAGGATCATGAGGATTGTTGTACGTAAATGGTTAAAGACAATGAAGGAATGGACTGGTCAGTTACAGATCTAGATGTGACAACTTTTCGGTTATCAAACATGTGAATGAATAGAATATCATGTATATAATGGACATATTCTAAGTTTCCCATTTTGATTTTATGAATGAACTGCTCTGGTTGAACTAGGGTCATTTGGGGGAAAACATGTCAATGAACATTGTGATATGAAGATATTTGCTTTGTGACTTCAAATTTTCTGAGAAAAAAACACCAGTTGGAAAATCACATATTGAACCCATCATTAACCATGTTAACCTTTACCTTTTGTTAGAATAGGTCTTGAATTAAAAAGTCCATTGTAGTTTTATCATTTACATTCAAATACAAACCAAGTCTTTTTGACATACAAGCCCGAAAAATAAGTCTCTCAAAAATTTCTTTAAATCTATATGGCTTGTCATGCTTTTGAGGTCTCTTTTCCAAAAATTGTTTATTTGCTTCATGTACCTACCCTCTTTCACATTGTTTCCCTGTTTTTCCTATAACCTGCCAGTAACTATTGTGATCATCTGAAGCTTCTACACCTGTTACAGACTGGAAAAGAAGTAAAAGCAATAATGTACATCTATATGGTCTGAATGGGAATTTTTCCCCATCCCTCCCTCCTATTATTCCATCCACCTTATCCATACATCAGTTTAGAAAATTTCTCTTTTTGAGACATCCTGATTGAAGGAATGTGTCCCAAATTGAGCCTTTGGCTTTTCCTGAAGTACTGTAAATTCAGAAATAATTGCGAGGTTTTTATTAATGTGAATAATGTGACTGGGTGATTATCGCAATAATAAGAACTTGCATTCTGATATCTGCTACATATATCTGTATGAAAATTTTCTTGAAATCACAATATTTAATCTCGCATTTTTGTCCATTCTTAAAAAAGCCCAATAATAAATGACAAAAGCACACAATAATTTCTGAATTTATAGTATAGTTTTTAAAGCTGACTGCATGCTATTAAATTGTCTATGAAGCTAGTTTGATTTTGTTCATTATTCGGGATTCTCAAAAAGTTCACGAAAAAGTAGGGTATATATCCATTGATATCTGTGATATTTAAATTCGACAAAGCTTTTTTTTTTTTTAACAACAATTACCTTAACAGCCATGACAGAAGCAATTACTTTGAATTCTTTCATTTGATTGCCCATTGTTGAACAAGGTATTATCATGTATCATGATTATAAAAACATACACACATTTCTGAATTTAGAGTAAATTTACATCCTTGACCACTAGACCTACAGATGTACTTACCTGTTGACCACTGCCTGACCCATACTTGACATCATGGGAGTGTAGCCGTATATTGTGGTATGGATTAAATAGTTTTAATGTAGATCCACATGTCACATAATGGTAATCAAATCTTCCTGTCAAGAAAGAATGTTTATATTAAAACCTTTTATTCTCAATATATAACATTGCTTATATCATTTTGGCACAAGATACAATAAAAATCTCTAAACTGACAATTTTCAGACATGTAACAAATGTCGCTAAAATTATTCTCACAAATGCAAAATTAAGTTACATGTCACCAAGTATGTATATCACCCTGTAAATTTTGGGCAATGTAAAATATTTAGCATATGTGACATAGAAAATTAGTGTTTCCTACAGGAAATGACAGGTTTTGGCCTGCTGCTATGTTTTCTCTACACCATCTCTTTATTTTAGAATTCTAAGGGCCCCTTTCTGTCACACTTATTAATACCCTTTTCATGAATTTTACAATGGGTACGGTGATTCATCTTGTAGAACTTTAGAGTTGTTTCCCTTTGATCACAATCAAAATATTTACAAAATGATTTATATTCAACATTTTTTTTAAATTCATTATCACTGATACAATGTACAAATATGTTTGAACACTTATCATTGAATAGAATTAAGACAACAGTAACTTGTTATTCTTTGACCAATTGTTAAATATGGATGACAATAAAACACTTCTAAAAGATACATTGTGGTTTTCAGTACCAAAAACTAACACAGTTACATTTATATATTAACAAAATACAGAATTATCTAAAAAACAAAATGCAGACACTGAAGTGTTCTCCCCAGGATTTTTTGATAGCGCTGTGGTAAGTGTGTGATATTAAATTGATTCACCTTTTCCGTTTGCGACGTGATGTTACATTTATTTATAACTGCCACGTTTGTTATATTATATTTAATATCTAAGGACCTTCATTTTTTATACATATGTATTAACAGACATGGAAATAAGTTACATTTTTAACCGGATTTACGAAGGATAAATCGGTTATTGATTTAGGGATGTACGGCGGGCGGGCATAAGGGCGAGCGGCTGCCAAACAGTGTCCGTTCATTAACATGAAAAGGCTTTGACGAAATCTTTTCAAATTTAGATATGTTGTTTCCTGTGACTAAATGAAGATAAAGTTTGATTTTCACGATTTTAGCATTTATCGTTGTTGAGTTGTAGACCTTTCAATAGAAAAAAGTGATACTTAGAGCGTTGTCCGTGACTAATATTTGGGATTCATTTTCCAGAGTGATGTTCTTATTTGCCCGGGCCATTCACTTAGATGTAGGGGGCAAAATCAGAAATTGCTCTGGACACTGAATCCCAAAAGGGATTAACATATATGTAGCCCAATCAGCTAAATTATCTTAAATTGTAATCAATATCAGGGTTCACCACAGGCTATTTAAGGGCGGTTTTCCTCCACCCTTAAATTGTTAAGGAACACAATTGGATATGAAAACCACTCTGGATTTTCTCAGAATTGACCTTTGAATTTGAAATTATAAGGATTAAATTCAGAAACAATTTCTTCATTCTTAATTCATGCACAATAAACATGCATGGGATCCAGGGTTTCCAAGCAAATTGAAATAGAAAAACAAATCCATGTTACTTTTACTTCTATTCTAACACATAATAAAAAGAAAATAAGGCATTAAAGCTTGGAAAATTTATAAAATTCAAGTTAAATAAAATGCCACGAAATTCCATGAATGATCTTGGTGCATTAACAGAATGGCAAAGCGGGACGTCATGCAAATTAAAAGTCACAAGCTGAAGGTTAATATGTTACTTGTTAGCATCAAATTCCGATAATATCTCATTAAAATGAAGTTTTGAGGTAGGTGTTTTTTCATTTTAGATTGTATTGCATAAATCAAACATTAATGGATTAAGGAAAGAAAATATTGTATAATACAAATGAAACTATTAGTTTTGGTTTTTAAGCTTATTTTGAGGTTTTCTAGACAATTTTTGATAGGTCAACCTGTAGTTCCCATTCACCTATCAACTTGTTTGCCATGTCAACCTGTAGTTCCCATTTACCTTTGATTGGTCAACCTGTAGTTCTCATTTACCTATCAACTTGTTGGCCATGTCAACCTAACTACTAGTTGACACTCAGTCTGTATTTGTAATGCAATAAGTTTAATAACAGAACCACACCTTAAATCAATACATGAATCACTCCTCAATCCTTCAGAGTAATCTACATTTTAGCCTTTACAACATGATTTCTTTTATTAGTTGTTATTGGTTTTAACAAGGTTTCAGTACTGTAACCATGGTAACTTGCGTGTACTCTCATATCTGTACTTTGTGTCTTGTATGTTTTTGTTAGGGTTTTTATGTGCTTTGTATCAATCTAATGAGTTAAGTCCTATATAATTGATTTTTATAGTTTGTTCTTATATTGTACTGTTACGCCACTGTCCCAGGTTAGAATACAGTTAGAGAGAGGGTTTGGCAACAGCAAACATGTTTAACCCTATCACATTCTGTATGTACTTCTCCAAAGTCAGGAGCCTGTGATTCAGTGGTTGTCGTTTGATGTTGTTTTTAGTTTATTGTTTTTTAAAAACATTAATTATGCCGTTAGTTTTATCGTTTGAATTGTTTTGAATTTGTCATTTCAGGGCCTTTTAAAGCTAACTACATGGTATGGGTTTTGCTCATTGTTGAAGGCAGTACAGTGACCTATAGTTGTTAACTTCTATGTCGTTTGGCCTCTTGTGGAGAGTTGCCTCATTGGCAACCATACCACTTCTTCTTATCTTTATATACATGTCTGTATACTCCACTTTTTACAGTGATCCCTGGATAAACTAAACATATTACTTGGACACCTGTTGAAGCACAGGGAACATGAAATCTTATTTTAGAATGTAATGTGTAATATATACCAAATGAAAACAACTGTTTCACACTGTTTAATACCTTTCATTGGCTAATTTATACTGTATGTTCAGCAGATTACGTTCTAAAAATATAAGATTGCGAGCCCCCAGTGGAGTGTCAGATTTAATTTCGTCATGTTCATATTTCTAGGCAGTAATTGGTCATTTTAGATGTTTTACCTTCTATGAATGAAATGAGAAATGACAGTAAAATACATGAAATCATTTCACTGGAAATGAACGCCATGGTGTCGGTAACGTCAACCTTTAAGAAAACTCTAGAGAGTAAATACTGGAATTCCCCGCTTCCGGTAGAAACACGTGAAGTATTTTCATTGGTTGGTTCGGGAAAATACCCTTTTCTAGTATCTTAAACCCGAAAAGATAAGAATGTGCAAAGCAGGAGAAATTAACCAATAATCAAAATACTTCAGTATTGAAGGTGTTCTTTTTTTAAATGCTAAGGTAAACCTAAATATGGCTCCCAAATTCCTGATTCGTGTTAAGAATTTTCACAATCATGAGAAAAATAGTGCTATTTCATGATTAGTAAACTGTATTGAATATTTTGACATGGAACTTTTATAGACCCTTTGTCATTTCATGACTATAAATATTGACATTTTCCTGGCAAAAATCAATAAAGCCTCAGAGTTTTCTTCAATTTCGTGAACATTTTCAAAACTGAGGTGTCGATAATTGAGATTGCATATTATTAGAATTAATGGGTGTCACGAGTTTAATTATTTAATTCCGCCACTCAATCCGTCCAGTTTAATCTATATCAGCTACTGAAAGCCGACTCTTTTTCTTCCAATAATTTGCATTCCTAAATTTGTATTATCGCAAATGACTATTTACACATGCCAAAAGGAACCATCCTTCCAATATACAATGTACACAAATCCGGTTAAAAGCCATCATGATGTTAATATACAATTAAAACTGAAATGTCTAACATGAAGCAAGTGTCTGGAGGCTGTCTTTGAATTCTTCCAATGTGGAAGCTGTGACGACAGCAAATGGAAGTTCATTCAACAGAAGAATTGCAGATGGAAAAAATGATTGCTGGTGGTTTTGTATTCTCGAGTAGGGTAGTAGGAATCTGGTGTCATTTCCTCTTGTTGTTAATGCTACACCCCTCGGTATTAAGTATTGTTCTGGTGGTATTGCAACAAGATTGTGTATTATGCGGTAGAGCATGATGCATGGTCTTTACTCTCTTCCTGCGTTCTTGTAATTCGACCTTATAGCAGGGCTTAAAGCATCTGGGTTACATTACTGGTGGTTCTGTAGTCGCCAGTTACAAAGCGTGCTGCTCTTCTCTGCACCATTTCTAATTCTCTGATGTTTTTCTGAGTTATTGGGTCCCAAATGATACAATCAAACATAATTAGTCTTACTAGTGTGGTAAAACAGTGTGTCTTGATCTTATTTGTACAGGGGCTGATTTATCTTCTCAAGAAAGAATTGATGTTGTTCGCTTTCTTGGTTACTGTGCCTATGTGATAGTTCCATGATACAAAGTACTTAATATGCTGATATGGAAATCATGCCCTCTTGTAAACTTATATCAGTGCCTGTATTTCCAACTATATTTTATACCGGTCAACGTCGTAATAAAGAGCAGGAAGATATGTGAAATCTTGTGCAGTTACGAAGTTAATCTGTACAATACTTCATGACAAAATAATAGAAGAAAAAGATCCTGAAAGAATGATGTTAGTTTTGTTTCAAACTATATGTAAACGACTTTATATGTATTAAAAAAAATGCCAGACGCAATAACATAGTAATTATACTGAATACTCATCAATATATATGCCAATAAAGCCAAAAAATAAAAAAATTGCGAAGTCCCATTCCTTTAAAGTTAGGAGTCAGTGACCATAGTGACATATCACTTTTTATATTTTTTGTCAGTATTTCGCCATTATAAAGGCCGATATTTATATATTCATGATCAGAGTTAATAAAAGTAATTAACCACATATTAAACAGGCATCCCTGTTGTCATTTGGGGGAGGGAATATAAATATTGCATACATTGTATATATACCTATATTGATATTGTATACTAAAACCAGTGGCGGATCCAGGACTTTTCATAAAGGGGGGGGGGGGGGGGAGGGGGCGCTGACTGACCTAAGGCCCCCCTGGATCCGCCTATGAAAACAGTTGCAGCATGCACTCGATAAGGAACAAACGAAATATCACCACTAAGGAAATGGTGTGAAAAATACAACGATCCGATTTTACTTTTGACCAAGTAAGAGTACATTCATAATACATCATTGATTTATTTAGAACAATCTAATTTATCTAAAGAATATAAGTCATCTGTGACTTTTGCTTTTCCGTATGCAGTGATCTTAAACACGATAAAATTAATACACCTAATAATTGAACAACTATAATTATAAAAAAGTTTAATTAAAAAATTGAAACGCACGGAAATTATATAAAAAAGCTTTATTTCATGTCTATCATCACACGTATTTTTCACGTGCTCCATGATTCTGTGTTGATTGTTTATCATGACATCATGTTTGGTAAACTTTGGCAAAACAGTACGAAAGTTAATTAGAAGAGAAAGTTTTAACTGATAGAAATATTTTTAGAAATAAGAAGATGTGGTATGAGTGTCAATGAGACAACTCTCCATCCAAGTCACAATGTGTAAAAAGTAAATAATTATAGGTCAAAGTACGGCCGATGTGATTGTCGATTATATGTTATGGATTCGTTATAAATGTAAAAAAAAATCGTGCATAGAGGACTTATGGTTTAGTATTTATACATGCATTGGCTCAATAATTTCTTTAATATTATAATTTGAAGAGACTCGTTTCATATGACTTTAATTTGCATGGGTATACATATACCTCCTATACATTTCTAGGAATGTGATTGGTTAAAAGCGCCCTCGTGGAGACCGTGTATATTTCATATTAGGTTAGTAGGGAGGCGGGGCTTATCTCATACACGGTTAGTAGTGGTGTTACGTCCCTTTATATTCCTTATAAGGTAGTAGGGAGGCGGGGCTTATTTCATACACGGTTAGTGGTGGTGTTACGTCCCTTTATAAAAACAAAACGGTACTGGGAAAAAATCGTAAAGGTTTCAACAGACGAAGAAAGTGATGATTAAGACTGAAATTAATTCATAAAACACATTTAAACCGAACAAGTTGTTATTGTTGGTATCTGTTTTTGTAGGATCAATGGAAGTAGTTTCTTAATGCTAACAGTATTGAAGACTTGCTCATTTGATAGGTCACTAGTCTAAATTTCACACGTTAAGATAGTCGGTAAGATAAATTCGTTACATAGTGTGCTAGTGACCTAATACGGTATATATGGGGTCAGTAAATTCCATATGGGGATTCGAGCGAAGCGAAGCTCGAATCCCCATATGGAATTTACTGACCCCATATATACCGTATTAGGTCACTAGCACACTATGTAACTAATAATATCGCTCGTCTAGTAGCATAATGTACGGTGCTGGTATACTTTGAAATGTGGAAGTAATTGGAAACAATCTTGTAATTAATTTAAAAAATCATTCGGAACGATGGCTTATCCTCCCACATTCACAACTTTGGAGTTTACAAACAAGTTTTTGTTGCTGGTTCATATTTTACACAAACTCATCATTGACAACAGGATTAAAAGTGTGTATGCCAGACGCGTGTTTCGTCTACAAAAGACTCATCAGTGACTGTCGAGTCAAACAGAGGTTTAATTAGATATTGAATTCCAAAAATGGGTCAGCATGGAACATCATACATTGGTGAGACATTTACTGTCGATATACCAATTAAGAACATTAAATAGGAATAATTTGATATCACGATTTAACGACTGGTTAAAACATACATTATCTCCATTATATAATATTAAAAAAAAAGAAATAATTATGTTTAAATTTAATACATGTTCTTCCTACGCTTGTAATTTCAACACAATTTACAGATCATTTGATTATGAATATTCAACATAACAAACAAAGTGACATTCGTAATCTTTTTAAAAATCACATAAAATGTTAGATAATTGTATAAATTATATAATGTTATCATAGTTATTTGTGAATCTTCATATCAATCCACATTTTTATAACATTATATATCGATGCACTCATCATATTTTTTTGCTTTAATATTGGTATGACAACCCCGCCTGTTTCCCCAACTATAAATATATGTTACATGTATTCACATAAATATGTTAAACATATAATGCGAGGATAACAATCCGTGTATGGAAACAATGGCACTACTCTGGATGTTAATATGTTTTATATGTTGTGTATGTGGAAGTGGACAATGTATTAACATTGATGAAAACTGTTCGATTGTGATTGCCACCGACGTACATGATGTCACTTGTTACGTAGATGAAGACGATACTTTATGTTTTTCTGATATTCGCAAGACCATTAACAAGCACAATATGGCCACGGAACACAATAAATCAGCATTGAGCTTGCGCATTAACTGCAAAAATGGCGCAAAAGTCAGTATGAATCAACCAATCAAACTACACGGATTGACGATGCTTGAAGTTCGAAACTGCTTTATTCAAGACTATTATAATTATGATTTTTCACAAGAAGTATCATCCATTCAACCAAGTCTTCGACATTTGACATTTTCGAATTGCATTTTTGAATACAGAAATTCTGTTTACGCAAGGAACATTTTAGATCACTACAGTGAATTACTAAAGCAAGAAAGATGCGAATTTCCAGAGTACTTGGAGCACTATATACTTCGGAATGTCTCATTTGCATTCCCGGAACCATTCGTAATAAACGATCCGTACTACAAAGAGAAAGAAAAATATGAAAAACAAAGGTTAATTACTAGATGTATCTATGACAACCTGACACTCATAGAAATATCCTCTTGTTCCAGTATTACTACAGAACACACCATCAATGCTATTTTAGAAAACGGAATATTTAGCGCATTGACGGAAATCAATTTAGCCAACAACAAACTGTCGAGCGTTCCAACTAGTTTATTTACCGACGTTATGTACAGAACAATGAAAAAAATAAAGAAAATTGATCTCTCTAGAAACTCGCTTAGAGACTTACGATTCCTGTACCGTCCGTTTACTTTCTCTGGTTCCCTATACGTTGATGTCAGCCAGAACAGAATAGCCGAAGTTTCAAATGAGGATGTGAGGACGCTGAAGTCTTTTTCTGAGTTTTCATATAATGCTGTAAATATCTCCGATAACCCCCTCCGGTGCGCACGTGATCAACAAGGTTTTTACGA